GAACTAAAACACACATAGGTTGTTCATCTTAGTTTCTTATTAAATCAAATCATTCAATCCCAAAACCCCCCTTTAATTACTAGTTCATAAAAAGAGAATTATTCCTTTCCCTGTGGATACGAACTCTACTACGTTATATTACGTATAAGTGTTAAGTATTGAATTTATTTTGACGCATTACGACAAAGTGCTCGTCAACCATAGGTAGATTTGCGGAGACGACATACTAGTGTCGGTTTTAAATCCTGGTGGAACAGTCATATATACTTCCTCATCCAAGTCTCCATGTAGAAAGACATTGTGAACATCCATCTTATAGAGTTCCCAATTTTTGGATATTGCAACTTCAAACAACACCCTTACAGTCACGATTTTAGCGACCGGAGCAAACGTCTCCGTGTAATCCAAACCTTCGGCCTGCCTATTCCCGAGAATAACAAAACGCGCTTTGTAACGTTCTATACTGCCATCAGAGTTATATTAAATTTTATATAAGCACTTGCAAATCATGGCTTTCCGCCACTCAGCATGAGTCATAGCTTCGCGAAAAGATCAGGGTTCATGTCCTGCGGAGATAGCAGCAAGAAACACACGATGTTTTGTCGAAAAACGTTCACAATTAATATAATGGGATATAGGGAACGGCGTACCTGAAGAATCTGATGGAGAAGGTGGTGAGGAGAATGGACTAGTAAATATTGTATGTGTAGCATAGTCCTTGAGTTTGACCGAGGGAATTTTTCTCCATTGACCACGGCCCAAGACCTCCGAAACAGTTGCTGCCAGAGTTGTTGGATGATCGGAAGTGGCGTGGGGAGCTGGTGTGATTCTGTAGCCATGTCATAGGATGTCAAACTGCCAGCATCTTCCGTGATATGAGAATGAGTGGTGGGACCCCCTTCAGCAGTCATGGTAGGAACTTCAGTGGGTTGTGGTGAAGAGTAAACGGCTGGGTACTCCACGGAATCAAGATTGTGTGCAAAATTGTCTTCTTCTTGGTTTTGCAAATCAGAAGAAGTATAAGAGCTAAATGGAAATTGGTCTTCCACAAATTTTACATTCCGTGAGACAAAATATTCTTGAGTCTCAATATCATAAACATGCCATCCTTTCTTTCCAAAAATATATCCAACAAATATACATTTTCGGCTCCGGCTAGAAAATTTGTCCCATTTGGAATATTAATTGTGTGCATAACACAAACACCCAAAGACCCGCAATGTATCATAATTTGGTGCTATGCCAAACAGAATTTCGTACGAAGTTTTGTAATTAAGCACACTAAAAGGGGTCCTATTAATTAAATGTGCGGCAGTAAGAATGCATTCTCCCCAAAAATTAATAGGCAAAGAGCTTGGAAGCGCAAAGCACGGGCAACATTAAGAATGTGAAGGTGCTTACGTTCAACCCTACCGTTCTGCTGGGGAGTGTCAACGCAGGATGTGTCAAAAATTATATCATTCTAAAAAAATACTTTTAAATTCCACTAAACTGTTCCATTATCACTTCGTACAATTTTGATTTGTTTAGAGAATTGTTGCTCAACCATAGCTATGAATGCTAAGAAAATGGATACCACTTCCTTTTTGTCCAACGGTAAATAAACTCACACACCTCTAGAGCAATCATCCACAAGAGTCAAAAAATATTTTGCTCCACAAGAAGAAGGGGTGTTGTATGGACCCCACAAGTCACAATGAACAAGATCAAAAATGTTTTCAGCATGATTATATTATTACTAACAGAAAAGGAATCCTTTGTTTGTTTAGATCTAAAACACATATCACAAAGAGAATAATCATCCTTGCTGCTATTCAGAAAAAGCAATTTCTTCATAACCTGAGTGCAGGGATGACCTAGCCGCTTATGCCACAAATTTTCTGGAAGCAAACCTTTATGCGTGTGCACTGATTGAACTGTTGCTAAGACCCGCAAATAATAAAGTCCATTCTCCCGTTCACCCGTTTCAATCAGCTTCTTCGATAGACGATCCTGTATAACACATATATTAGATGTGAATTGTACAAAACAATCAAGTGCATCACTAAGTTCAGAAACAGACAACAAATTGCAATTGAGATAATTACCCTAGGTATGACTAAAACTTCTTGACTTTCCCAATCTATGACCTAACTTGTTTTTTACCAAAATAATACTAAAATTAATAATATTTAATTAAAATTCGTCATTAATAATTAATAATTAATTTAGGTTGACAAATATACCCTTTAGTTTACACCTATAAAACCCTAACCTCCTACTAATTTTCAACAACCCTAGCAACAACCTCCCAACACCCAGCCGCCCCACCGTGCAGCCGCCCCACCGTGCAGCCTCCCACCGTCCAGCCGCCACCCGCCGTCCAGTGCCATGGCGCCGCCGCCGCCTAACACAAAAATCGGATCTGGGAGCACAATCGCCAACACAGAAGCAGTGTTGCTTGATGGGCCAGTTCTTCGCCATACCTGCGTCCCAAAGCACCGTACGATGTTGATCTACTGCCCTCCGTCCAGCCACCTCTCCCCATCGTCGTCCAATCGCCGCTCCTCATCGCCATCCAGCCGCCGCTCCTCATCGTCGTCCCAGACTTGTGCACTGCCATCCCAGATATCTACGGCACCGTCCCGGACCTATGCGCACTAGCCCGATCAGTGCGCCGCCGTCCTAGGTCGTGCACACCGCCTCCCATCCGCCCCCAGCCTCCGTGCCGATACGTAGATGTAGACGCCGCCAACCAGATATGCACCTCCGTCCTCATACAACCAATGTTGTCATCCAGCAGCATGGAGGCGCTCCATCTCACCCTTGCTGCTGCCATTCGTCCGCCTCATTCTTTTATTTTTATTTTTATTTTTTGAGATTAGGTTTTATTGAATTTTGGGTTTGAGTGCATTAAATATGGGCATTGAACATCGGCAGTGAACATTTGAACAAGTGTTAAGTATGGACAGTGAATATATATGGTAATAGACATGTTGTACATGGCAGTGAATGAATGCATTAAGAAATTTTGTTGTGTAGTGATTATGACCAGTATTGCAGTAACACAAAGCAGTAATATCATCATGAAATGCAATATACTTGATTCAACGTAAAATAATAAAATTATTAAATCTAAAAAAACAAAAAATAAATTCCTCAAGTAAATGAGAAGAGAATTAATTTTGGCGAAAGTGCAGTGATTATCACCGGATGTGCAGTAAAGTCATGCATTAATGTTGTGCAGTAACGAAAATATAAAGTGCAATAATGTTAACTGGACTAAATTAGTTCAAAATGCACATATTTTAAACAAGTGTATTTTAATCATTCAACCTTTAAATACAAACGATTTTTTTTTTTTTTTTTTGATTTTCGGTTATAGAAAAGTCTAAAAACTAGTTAGGGTATAGATTGTGAAACTGATATTCATGTAATTTCCGATTGTATATTTGTATTTTTAACTAGTTTTTATTAGTTCTAGTTGAGGAAATTACACACTTTTGGTGTAATACTTTATTTTCATATTTATTTGTAATTAATTTAGATTAGGACTTTTCTGAGCTAAACAGGTCAAAGATCATCCAAGGGATCAAGATTGGACCTTAAAAGATCAAGGAAAGTGCAAGGAGGCAAGAAAGATTTCGATTTGGAAAAAATACTCATGTACCCGGTCGGGTATTGCCTATACCCGATCGGGTATTTGCTTGATTCGATTGTCCAAATAAAATCCGGGAACAAATGATCGTGGGAGCAAGATTTCGTTAAGATTTGTCACATACCCGATCGGGTATGCCGACATACCCGGTCGGGTATGTCCAGAAAAGTGACTTTCTGGGAAATTTCCTAAGATACCCGGTCGGGTATCCTATATACCCGGTCGGGTATCAGCCCCTGCAGCTCCCAAAAGCCTATAAATACACCCCTTTTCTTCACAATAAAAGAACCAATTCACATATACTCTTTAGCTCAGTTTAGTTAAGTATTTCTTTTATATTTTTAGCATGTTTAGTCTCCAAATGAGGAGCTAAACTCTTCCATCTTGGTTTTGCTACTTTGAAGCTTAATGAATTTGTAAGTTGTGAGTTATTCTCTTTAATTTTCTTCCTTAAATATTAATTCTTCCTTTAAATACTATTTCTATATCAATGTTGGGGAGTGTTACTAAGATGACAATTAGTTAACATCTTGACATTAGTTATAGTAATAGTTATTTCTTCCTCTATGTTAATATTGGGGAGTGTTACTAAGATGACAATTAGTTAACATCTTGATATTAACTATAGTAGGATTCATACTCTTTAATATTCTTCCTTGAGTATTAATTAATTCCTATTCATATTTCATATTAATATTTTGAGCATTACTTAAAGGATCAACTAGTTTTGTTTCATATATTAATTATTACTAGAATCAATCGGTTAATACGCTTGTTATTAATTCGGTTCCTTCAACGGTAGTAAACTTGGATTATTAATGCATGCGTCTCATGGTTAATAATCTAAGGGGAATTAATTATATTGATTAAACCGATAAACCGCTTGTGTTGAGGTTATCAATCTCAATCGTTTTCATCTCAAGTTTATTGCTACTATCGTGTGAATATATGGCGCGTGTTCTATATTAACTCGGTAGTAAGTTTTATTAATGAACGCGTCTCGTTATTAATAACTACCCTCGATGAACTGGATATACTCCTCGATTGAGTATTCGAGAGGAAGATAGTTAAAGATATAACCGGGATCGACGAACATTTCATTAAGTGGATAAAAGCAAAACCAAGTCCTCATCTCTATAAATTAAAATCATATAAGTCGTTCATCCTAGTGTTAATTAAATTAAATTAAATCAAACTTAAAAACCCCCTTGTTACTATTTATATAAAAGAAAAGTATTCTTTTCCCTGTGGATATGAACCTTACTTCACTATACTACGTATTAGTGTTGTATTGAATAATTATTTTGAGTGCACCTCACGACAAGTGCACGTTAGAAACTCATTGAGTTTTAGTCATATTCTAGTAAATTTCTCATTGCAATTTAGACTAGGTACATAAAAGACATGGTCCAATTTAATAGTGTTGGTCAAAACAATTGACCCCTCCTTGTTAGCAAGAACATTTTGGCCGTCAGGAAGTCCCACTGTGCAAGCAACTATTTCTTTGACATTAAACAAAAAATCAAGATTTCCGGTGACATGATTCGATGCCCAGTGTCGATGATCCAACGCATATAGTTATTCTTACCAAATATTCGTTCGGTGGTTGGTTGAGAATTACCAAAAAATGTCATCAAAGCCTTCCACTACTCCGACGTGAAGCCAGACAAAGGTGAAGTCTGCTCGTTCCCAGGTCCAATATGTTGTTTTGCTCCACTAGAGACTCCATCTACAGTTGCTGCATTTGCTCGCACGGGTGAGGGTTTTACCGGCATCATCTGTTTTCCCTTGCGAGACGTTGACTTATTTCTTCCCCCGCCTTTGTTGTCAACACGTGGATGGTCCCCCCACCAGTCAGGGCACACTACGAGCTCAAAACAGCTGGATACTTCATGCCCGGAAAGATGACAGTATGTGCAAATCAATCCTGATTTGTCCGCCTTTGCAGGTTGCCCTTTACTACGTCCTTCAGTCCGAACCGCGAAGCCCACGATCTCACCTTTATCTTCCTTTGCTTGTGTCATCTCCCTCACACGTTCTTCTTGTGTGACCTGTTGATAGGCACGATTAAGCGTGGGCAGTGGGGTGTGAGTCAGGATCTGAGAACGTATCGGACCATAGAATTCTGAATTCAGTCCCATTAGGAATTGATAGAATCGTTCCGTGTCCCTGCGTTTCTCGTGCAATGAACGCAGGTTGCAAGTACATTTACCGCATGTGCAACTAATCAACAGCTCATGCCGGTCAAGTTCATCCCAGAGGACTTTAAGTTACGAATAGTATGAACTTACTGGCACAGCCTTTGCTTGTTCGCACCTAGCCAAATCACTTTTAACCTGATAAAACCGAGGTCCATCTATAACGGAAAATCTTTAATTTCCTTCAGATCCTTCCATAGTAGATAGGCATCCTCAAACTTCGAGATGGTGCGGCTAACCTCTGGAGACACTGTATTCATGATCCATGATACCAACATGGAGTGAATGGTCATCCAATCCTCTTCTGTGCATGGCGGAACGGGTTTCATTATGGTTCCATCGACGAATACGTATTTCCTCCTCGCACAGAGTGCCAACCGAACTGAACTTGCCCAATCTTCATAGTTGCCCCCTGTCAGTCGTACGGGAGTGATAAAGTCGCTGGGCCTATCTTCTGGCCCTAGAAAGAAAGGAGAAGTATGGTCGATTTTGACCGGAGTTTGGCCGGATTCTGGTTCTGCGTTGGTTTCCACCATGGTCGTATCTCACTTTGCGCGCTCTGATACCATGTAGAAAGGAATGCGTACGCAGCGGAATTACTAAGGAAACAATCTTCTTTATTTCGTTGTGTGTATTACAATGGATATATGAGTATATATATATAGTATACGAACTCTAGGAGTCCTATTGGAAAGAGCATTCTAGATACAATATTAAACTCCTAGTATATCTCGGCTACCATATACGTATCCCAAAGAAATATCAACTACCAAAAATAACAAGTCTAGAATTTTCTAAATAATATATCCGTACAATAATGTGTTTATATGGAAACAATAAGGAACTTTATCAATCTAGAATCTGAAAGATAAATGACTTAACCTCATACCTAAATGATGAAATGTTTCGGCATAGGGATCGAATGATTGAAAACTATCAATCTATAGACCATCACTGGCTCGGGTTTTTATTGAGATTGATATCTCTAAAGAGCTGTCTCATAAAAATCGGGGTTGGTAATGGTAAGTCTAACTTTTTTAAATGCTCCCGTTTTGGATACTCTGGGAACCTTCATTCAGCTTGGCCAAGCCAATAATGAATGCGAGGCTACCGGGAAGTGGCGTATCCACTATGGAGGCAGTGAAGGCAGCTGCCCCCTCTCAACACGAACCCAACCCTATGTATATTCTAAAATTTTATAGAAATTGCTCAAAATAAGAGCTAAACATAGGGAAAATTTTAAAATAGGATTAAGAGTGTTTTTTCTATAAATATAGTATTTATGTAATCCTATTAAAAGAATAAAGGATAAACAATATATTAAATTTTGTGATGTATAACTTTTATTTAGGTAATTCTCTCAAAATTTATCGGCAATTTCATCTTTGCACACTCATATTTTAAATTCATATTCTTTTTATGCATATTTGTACATTTAGAACTTAAACTAAATCTAATCAAACAATATTAATAATATGATCTGCTATTTATGAAATATGCGATTAAAAGTGTAATGCAAGTTCGGCCTCGCTCAAAAATATTTCTGGATATGACACTGTTTCGCGGCCTGATCAAATTGCTAAGTTTTGTCTTGTTGAGTTACCTAGAGTTACCTATTATGTATCCAAAATGCAACTATACCCGATGTCCCTATTTTATTTGCACCAACTACACCTAGAGTTTTTTTTTTTGCTAAAACAATTGCTCCAGCATTGCTGGCTATTCCTATTTGCTTTTGGTACCTAAAACAATTCTCACTTACCAGGCTACAATTTGCAATAAAAATGTACAGAACCTCACAAAGGCCTTAACCGTGTGGCCAATGGTACAATTTTTCAGCACATCGCTCTCTACTCCAAAATTGGAGGGATTTTTTTACAGGATAATGAAGCTATGCAATTGAAGAAAATCAAGAAGGATTCATAACCATCCTCTCCAAAGAGAATACAAAGGCTCAACACATTGAGAAAGAACTTTTCTATGAAGTTGGATGGCAATCACATCCAATAATCACTAGGAGTCAACGAAGACTACTACCTCTACTTGCTAGGTTCGAATCTCGTCAAAAGCTCGTCATCACACTCGAGCAATATAAATCACATATGGGATAAAGTTTCATCTTAAATACCACTAGGCAATTGCCATTCATACGAGGATTCCAACAAAAAATTAAATTAGGGAGGAACTCTCTCCACAATACACTTTGACACTTTAGCAATCTCTTTAAATAAATGAAAAATGAAATACTAGGTTCTACATTAATATTTTTGAATCTTTAGGTTCCCTATATAATACATCTATCTTTTTGGTCTTAGATTAGTAAAATTTCGAACAGTAAATTTAGAAAAAGTTGATGAAGAGACTAATGAAATGAAGTTTACTAATGACGACGTGCTTGATAAGTCATTAGCTGGACATATGTGATAATGAGCATGTTGTTATCATTTGTTAGCCGCATAACTTTAGGGTGACTCTTTTTTTCAGCTTATCAACTTTATCAGTTATTTTTCACCAAATACGTAACATTCGATTTCACGCGCTAAATTGTATAATTATCAAAATAAGTAAGGTTGAAGTTTTCTTTTGACTATATTGGCTGAAGTGACTATAAAAGACCATTTTAGTTTGGAAAAAATAACTAAAATACCTCAAACTTTGAAGGGGTGTGAGGTAAATAACCCAAACTTGCGTAGTTAATTTAAATACCCCAAACTTTATATAAAAGTTATTTTAGCATCATGATGATGTACTATTTCTTTCAAAAAAGTAAATTTACGGTGTTAATTGCATAATTTAAAATAGCAAACTAAAAGTGTTGCAATTATATAGATTAGGGGTAATATTATTTATTTCACAATGGAAATTTAGAACGTTAATTGTGTCTTCACGAATGCTAAAATATTTTTAATTGCGCAATTAACACCCCAAATTTACATTCTCGAAAGAAATAATGCTTGACTATAGTGCTAAAATAAATGTATACATAAAGTTTGAGATATTTAAATTACATATGCAAGTTTGGGGTGTTTATCTCACACCCCTTCAAAGTTTAGGGTATTTTAATTATTTTTCCCTTTTATTTTTCATATTATTTTTTCTTAATTTTATTAATAAAATATATTATGACATTATTTTTTCTTAAGTACCTAAATTCAATCAATTCAGCCGCCTCATCCAGAACTTCATCTATTTCAGCAGAATCAGTCGATTCAGCCAATTTCAATATTGCCAAACAGACTTTTTGAAATTTAAAGGTTAGTTATAATTATCTCAATGACTACATGAAATTTAGGCTGATTTGTAGCATCATATATACTTATACAGAAAAAATGTTTCTTAATGACTGAATCTACTAAATTATTGAAAAATTATATTTAAAGTATGTTTTGTTAATAAAACTAAGGAAAATCACATGAAAATAGTAAAAATTGTGTTCTACTGTAATATCAACCAATTCAGCCCGAAAAATAAACGAGTATTAGCCCTTAATAGGACTAAAATTAGCCCAAAATTCAACAATATGAGTACAATCCATTTATTCCCAAAATAGGATTAATATATGTCCCTTTATTAATAAAAAAATCATAGTTTTATTTTTAATAAAAATATAAAAAATAATAAAATATTTATAAATTAATACTCCCTCCGTCCCATAAAATAAGTCCCATTTTCCTTTTTGGGCCGTCCCAAAAAATTGTTCCCATTTCCCTTTTTGGAAAGTTTTGTGTGGCTAACATTCATTTACCTTTTTCTTACTCAACCACAACCATACATTTCCATTTTATTCCCACTTTCTTAAACTCCGATCCAAGTCAAAGTGAGACTAATTTTCCGGGACAGAGGGAGTAACAAAAATGTGAAAAAATAAATCAAAAATAAAAAAATTAAAAAATAATACTACCTCCGTCCCATAAAACTTGGCCAACTTTCCTTTTTTGGCCGTCCCAAAAAACTTTGCCATTTTCATTTAAAGTAACAAATATGTGGGTCAAGTTATTTCTCTCTCCTCTGCACAAATATCAACCACACAATTTTTACTTTATTAATCTACGTGCAATTCAACATGGGCCAAGTTTTATGGAACGGAGGGAGTGATAGAATATTTAAAAAACTTTAAAAAAGTCTAAAAAATAATATAAAATACCTAAAAAATATTTAAAAAATATGTAGGTCACTGCCAATGCGTCCTCTACCTCGTAGCACCACCAGCTCCGGTCGCCAGAACAAATGCCATCTTGTGTAAAAAATGCCACATTTCTCTGAAAATGTCATGAAGATAACATTTTTACTCTTTGAAAATATTCAGCTTTCTCTTCAAAATTGCCATCATGATGACATTTTCCCCCAACATGGCAATCTTTTCCGGCGACCAGAGGTGGCAGTGCTGGAAGGTGGCTGAGGTGTTGGTTGAGGTCTATATATTTTTTATTTATTTTCTACGATTTATATTTTTTTATTTTAGTTTTTTTATATTTTATAATGATTGTTTAAAAAATCCTATTAGGAAGGACAAAGGAAAGGGTAGAATAGGAAGAGTTAGTCCTATTTTGGGAAGTTAAACTTTAAACTGCTATTGTTGCAATTATCCATTTATTTAGTCATATTTAGGTAAATCTCCCAAAAATAAATGCAACTTTACTTACTCTTATTGTTTTTCAATTTAGCAAGGGAAGTCAAGAGCTACGTGTCTATAAAAAAGTTGGCAAATAAGGCGAATAAATTGAAAATAGAGGTTGCAAAATGGGCTCTTAAATTGTACAATTAATATATGTTCACTCAAAGGGTAAATTATATGGTACAGTCGACTGTACCATGAACATGGTACAACCGACATTTTTATAATTAGTTTTGGTTTAGAGGATGAATGTTAAGTTCTTTTTAGGTGTGCTCTTTAATTTTTTCCACCACGTCTGCCGTTGCTTGCTTGTCGCTTTTCTTTTCTTATGTCTTTTCTTTTCTTATGTCTTTTCTTTTCTTCCTTTCTTGCTTTTACTTGCTTCCTTTCTTTCTTTTTCTTTAACATTTTTTTACTTTAATTTTTATTCAATTATAAAATATTTTAGATATTAATGTTTTGTTTTTCTATTTTTTATTATAAGATGAATTAAATATTTATTAGTTTACTAAATATTGTGTGTATTACTAATATGAGTTTTGTGTTATACTAAAATGAGTATTGTGTAAAATAAACGTGCACAAGTAAATATTATAAAAACCAAACGATTATAGTTTTAGTTCAAGAACAAAAGAATATAATTTTTTTAATAAAACATTTTAATATTTCACATTGTTATATATAATTATAGTATATTAAATTGTTAACAATGAATCTACTGGATGTTCATATTATAAAAGGAAGTTTATGTTATATTCGAATGAGTATAACCATTACAAAAAATGGACATACACAAATGAATATTTGAACACATTAGAAAATTGAAATGAACTATTGAAGTTTTTCGATGCTCATTTAGTAAGTTATATATATTCATCTGGTATTGGTTAAATGCTCATTTTAAAATGTCATATTAATGCATATTTCAAAACTATCATATTACAGTAGATTCATATGAAAGTTGATTATAGACACGAGAGTAGACGTCATGATACTCAATTGCATGTTTATATTACTCAATAGAGGAGATTTGATACTTAATGAAAATGTCTTAATTATCAACTAACAAAGCTTATTATTTTCATATCAATGCTCATTTTGTTAGTTACGTATGCTCAATTAATACTCATGTCGCGCTCATTTTTTAAATGTCATATCAATGCATATTTTAAAAGTAACATATTATATTAGATTCGCACATTGAAGTTCATAAGAGTTGATTATAAATATAATTTAACAAGTTTTTATAAAAGAAAAAATAAGAAAGAGAAAGTGAATTCGAAGATACGAATGAGAGATCCCGATGTTCATTGTTAGACTTCTAATGCTTAACAAAATATGTCTGATACTCACAACAATATCATAACAATGCATGTTTCAAAAGTACTATATTACATTAGATTGTATTTTGAAATTCATAGAAATTGATTATAGATATAATTTAATGAGTTCTTATAAAAGAAAAAATAAGAAAAACAAAGTGAATTACAGTATATGAAGTTGATATCACAATACTCATTATTCGACTCTTAATGCTCTGTAGCAAATGTCTAAGGATGTTACAGATTGAGCTTGTTCCTTCCCTGTTCCACTCACGCCCATCCTTCTCTTTTCCGTATTTCGCCACTGGCAGCTGCTTTGTTTTTTTTTTTAATTTCCCTTTTTTCGGCAGCTCATCCTTACTTCTCTTTTTTTTGTTCATCCGCTACTTAGTTTCTTTTCTTTTTTTATTCCCCTTTTTTAACAGCTAATCCTTACTTCTCTTTTTTGTATCCATCCGCTAGGGGTGGGTTTGGTTCTTTCGGTTCGGTTTTGACCTAAAACCAAATACGGAACCAAAGTAAAAGTTCAGTTCGGTTTCGGTTCGGTTTTACACTCCAAAAATTCAAACCACGGTTTGATTGGTTCGGTTTGTTTCGGTTCGGTTTCGATTTTTTCGGTTTTTTACTAAATATTTGTCATTTAATTTGAAATTGATATAAAAGTTGGAGGGATCAAACATATTACATAAAAATGCAAGCATAATTGAACAAATGAAGAAAATAATAATAAACAAATATGTCTTGAATTATATGAGTATGCGGGAGAGATAAAAGTGTGTATCTATTCTTAATTTACAATGTTTGTGACTAGTTTGAAAAACGTTTATAAATACATATGTCCTGTGTGATTTAGCGGAGATGAATATTTATTTGTTCTATCAATATAAAAAACTTAAGTTACAAAAAAGAATTAAGTTACATTAAAATAAAAGTTAATTACTACTAATAACTAGTAGAAACATATAATCATGCAATAAATTGCAACATACATACATAAAAGACATAATAGATCAATATAACTACATTATTATGGGCAATGAATGTGTGAATGCATTTATAAACTAAACTAAACATAGCATAAACATTATTTCTCTAGCACAAGAAATTCAAAGATTATTGATGATATTAAGATTAATGTTTACATTTAACAAATAAAATTTCATATTTTATTTATGTTCGGTTTGTTCGGTTCGGTTTTGAAGGGTAAAAACCAAAACTGAACCAAACTACTACGGTTCGGTTCAGTTTTTTACATTCAGTTTCGGTTTTTAGCGGTTCGGTTTTATTTGGTCGCGGTTCGGTTTAATTTGATTCGGTTTTCGGTTTTTCGGACCCAACCCTACCATCCGCTGCTTCGTTTCTTTTCTTTTAATTTGTTTATTGACTTTATTCCCTTTTTTTGTTTGCTTGTTCTTCTTTTCTTTAGCAACCTTCTACTAATTTATTGTTATATATATTCAATTATTATGAAAATGTATAATATAAATATTATTGAATGTTCCAGTTTATTTTTTAGATTCATGCTAAAATCCGTGCCAAAGTCCCAGACAAGGCCGAGTAATTCTTGTCGGCAGCCAACAAAATGGGAGCGGAGGACATATTGGTTCAATTTCCTTCCGTTCCAAAACGTTGCGAGCCAAAAGCCGAGCCAACGGTGTCACGTGTGCTGCTCTGTTCCCATCCTCTTGCCGAGCCAATAGATTTCATGCCATCATCCTTGCCAAAAGTGGCCGTTACCTAAAGTAAATGCCTGCACCAAAGTACACTGTGAATAGGTGTCAATACTGTTTATATGCCTTGCCAACTTCCCTGCCAAATAAAAACATAAATAGTTAATGTTTTGTTGAAATTTTACATCAGCCTTCAATTCCTTCACTACATACTCACCCCTACACCCAATCTTTTATGATAAAATGCTGAATTCTTCCGAGATCATGGAAGTTTTATGGAACAATTATGATGGGATTTCTTAGAAAATTTATTGTCAACATATAATAAGGTATGTAAATTTTTTGTAGTGTTTTTCAAAGCAATTGTTTATCTGTATATTATATTATGATTGTTCTATTTTCTTTTATGCTATATCGATTGTATGCTAGAAATAGCTTTAAATAGGACTAAACTCATCTCTAAATGGCGGAAACAATAATATTCCTGGTTAGGCTTTAGGGTTTCTTTTTTTGCAGGAGCAGATCACTGGTAGGGTTTAAGGATTTTTCCGATATTCTGGAGCTTGTCCAGGCGCAGCTCAGCCATGGGGTTTTGGGCGATTGAACTTAAACCAGGAAAACCATACGTCCTTGAATTAGCCGGAGATGGGGAAAGACTCCATCTTTCGCAGGCTACATTGGGTGCTGGTTCATCTGATAAAAAGACCATAGTTCAGTGTTCCCTTGAAGGCAAGAAACCAATATATTTGTGCTCTCTATTGCCTGAAAAACTTGAGACTTGCCCTCTGAATATTGAATTTGATGATGAGGATGAGGTCACCTTCTCAGTTAAAGGCAATCACTATGTTCACCTCTCTGGTTTCTTTTTGAGTGAATGTGAAGATTGTGATGAAGAGGCATATGGGTCTGATGCATATGAGGATGACTGTGTTGAAAGTGACAGTGGTGGAGATGATTCTTTTTATGATTCTGGGGAGGATGGATTTGAAGATAGTGATCTCGATATGTACCCATCTTCACCAGTCCCGAACAGTGGAGTTAGAATTGAGGAAATCGTAGAGGATAAGAATCTCACTAATGAGAATGATGCATCCCAGGGGCCAAAAAAGAAGAAAACCCGCTTTCCTGAAAGCCAAGAAAACACTGATCAACAGATAGTTGTGAAGAGCAATAACAGTGTTCCTACGGTTGAATGTGAAGATGAAGATGTTAGAAATTAAACTTGGCTTAGCCCAATAATTGGGTCCATTAGATGTTAACTTATTGGGTTAGAAGTTGTATGATAATTAATAAATTAGCTAGCTCATAAGATAGACTTAGAAAGATCTAGAGTAGTTAATGTACCTAAACAATTCTAGATTATTCCTAAGCTAGAATCCTATAGAATATTCTAGAAGGTTAAGGAAGTAGGAGTACCTAGAAGGATCCTATGAGACCTATAAATAGAGCACTCCTCACTTATTTGTAAAGCAAGCCAAAAGCTCCAAATCAATACAAGTTCCAAGTTCTTCTAAAATCACCTCTCTCTAAAATTCTCTCTTCCACACACAATCACCCAAATATAATACTCATCAACTACTTTCTTCCAACAAAGTGGCATCAGAGCCATCAATCCTTTCAAGAAAAATGAATTCCAACGGCTTAGTTCCATTCCAATTTCCTCGTCTCACTAAAGATAACTACTCTAGTTGGTGCATTCGCATGAAAGCCTTGCTTGGATCTCAAGATGCATGGGAGATTGTTGAGAAAGGTTATGAGGAACCTCAAGATGATGCTACTTTAAATCGATCCCAAAGGGATAGTCTCCAAAAGAGTAGGAGGAAGGATCAACAAGCTCTCACTCTCATATATCAATGCTTAGACGAGGTCATGTTCGAGAAGGTTTCAAATGCCACCACTTCTAAAGAAGCATGGGAGATACTACATAACTCTTTCAAGGGAGTTGACAAGGTGAAGAGAATTCGTCTTCAAACTCTTAGAGGTGAGTTCGAACAACTTAAAATGAAATATTCGGAATCAATATCCGACTATTTCTCTAGAGTGTTAGTAATTTTAAATGAGATGAAGAGGAATGGTGAGGAACTAAAGGACATAACAGTGATTGAGAAAATCCTTCGCTCTCTCACCAAAGACTATGATTATATTGTGGTGGCCATAGAAGAGTCCAAGGATTTAGAGTCCATGACCATTGATCAACTTATGGGCTCACTACAAGTCCATGAAGAAAGAGTTGTGAGAAATAAATCTGATGAATCATTGGAGCATTCTCTTTACTCCAAACTCTCTTTTAAAGAAAGAGGGGAGAATAGAGGTGAAGAAAGAGGCCAACGAGGTCGTGGTTGTGATCGAGGACGTGGTGCACGTGGAAGAGGTGGTCGAGGTCGTGGTTATACAAACTTCAACAATGAAGAAAGAATTCAATATACGCAAGCATCTAGAGGCCGTGGGAGAGGAAGCAAACCACAAAGGTACGAGAAGTCTCAACTAAAGTGTCATAATTGCAATAAATATGGCCACTATGCATATGAATGCAAGCGCTCTAATCATGTGAAAGAAGAGGCCCATCTCATGGAGATGAATAATGACGTAGAACTTACCTTGTTGATGGCAAATCATGAAGAACAAACAAAGAAGAGCACGTGGTATTTAGATACCGGAGCTAGCAACCACATGACGGGAGATAAAAGCATGTTCGTGAAGGTAGAACAAACTCAAGGTCATGTTACTTTTGGAGATGAGTCTAAAGTCGTGGTGAATGGTAAAGGTAACGTTCTAATCCGTCTAAACGATGGAAGTCACCAATTCATTTCCGATGTTTACTATGTGCCCAACTTAAAAACAAATATTCTAAGTATGGGACAACTCTTAGAAAAGGACTATGATATTCACTTAAAGAATCGTAGTCTTTCTCTACGAGACAATAATGGAAGACTAGTTGCTAAAGTGCCGATGACTAGAAACCAAATGTTCTTGCTTGACATTCAAAGAGATCAAGCCATATGCTTAAAAAGTTGCTTGAAAGACGAGTCATGGATTTGGCACTTAAGATATGGGCACTTAAACTTTGGTGGCTTGAAAATGCTATCATCCAAAGGCATGGTGAAAGGCTTGCCCTTCACCAATCATCCTGATCAGCTATGTGAAGGTTGCCTATTTGGGAAGCAATCAAGGAAACCATTCCCTAAAGAAGTTACCTCAAGAGCTAAGGAACCATTGGAGTTAGTCCATACCGACTTATGTGGTCCTATTACTCCATGTTCACATGGTAAAAGTAAGTACTTTCTCACTTTCATCGATGATTACTCAAGAAAAACATGGGTATATTTCCTTAAACAGAAATCTGAGGCCTTTGAAGCATTCAAGAAATTTAAGGCTCTTATTGAGAAAGAAAGTGGGTACACTATCAAAGCCATGAGATCAGATCGGGGTGGAGAGTTCACATCAAAGGAGTTTAATCAATTTTGTGAAGATAATGGCATCCGCCGTCCCATGACTGTCCCACGAACACCACAACAAAATGGTGTTGCCGAAAGAAAGAATAGGACGATCCTCAACATGGCTCGAAGCATGCTAAAAACAAAGAGTATGCCTAAAGATTTTTGGGCTGAAGCTGTGGATTGTGCTGTTTATCTTCAAAATCGCTGCCCCACGAAGAGTCTCGATGGAAAAACTCCACAAGAAGCATGGCATGGAGGTAAACCTGGAGTCTCACACTTGAGAGTATTTGGATGCATTGCATATGCGCATGTACCCGATCAGACTAGGTCAAAACTCGATGACAAGAGTGAGAAGTTTATATTCATTGGATATGATAAACACTCAAAAGGGTACAAACTCTACAATCCGGATTTGAAAAAGCTTATAATAAGTCGTGATGTGGAGTTTGATGAAGAAGGCTCATGGGATTGGAGCATTGGTGACAAAGAAGATTATAGTCTCTTGCCTCCCATGGAATATGAAGAAGAAGTTGAAGAAAATCATGAAAATACAACTCCTCCACCATCTCCCACTCAAGCTCAAGCTTCATCACCAAGTTCGGATGAAAGAGAAATACCACGCATGAGAAGCATTAAAGAGCTTTACGAGGTAACACAAAATTTGAACTCAAATGATGAACTTACACTCTTTTGTCTATTTGGTGATTGTGAGCCACTAAGTTTTCAAGAAGCCACAAGAAACAAGAAATGGAGAGATGCAATGGATGACGAGATCAAGTCAATCGTGAAGAATAAAACATGGGAGCTTGCCACACTTCCACCAAAACATAAAGCAATTGGAGTGAAATGGGTATTTAAGATCAAGAAAAATGCAAAAGGAGAAGTTGAGAAGTACAAGGCAAGACTAGTGGCCAAAGGCTACGCCTAGAGACATGGCATTGATTATGAAGAAGTATTTGCGCCCGTGGCTAGATTAGAAACAATAAGATTGATAATTGCATTCGCGGCTCACAACAAGTGGAAGATACATCAAATGGATGTCAAGTCTGCATTCTTAAATGGGTTCCTAGAAGAAGAAGTCTACATTGAGCAACCCGAAGGTTACAAAGTCAAAGGGCAAGAAGGTAAAGTGTTGAGGCTAAGTAAGGCTCTTTATGGGCTTAAACAAGCACCAAGAGCTTGGAATAGTAGAATTGATCAATACTTCCAAGCTAATGGATTCGTGAAATGTCCGCAAGAACATGCTCTATATATCAAGAAAAATCATCACGGAGACATACTGCTCGTGTGCATATATGTGGACGACCTCATCTTTACAGGTAATAACATGACGATGTTTGATGAATTTAAACAAGTCATGACAAAGGAGTTCGAGATGACTGACATTGGGCTTATGAGTTACTATCTTGGCATCGAGGTGAAACAAATGGATGATGGTATATTCATCACTCAAGAAGGATACACGAGAGAATTACTCAAGAAGTTCAACATGGAAGACTCTAAACCTGTAAGTACACCTGTTGAAAGTGGACTAAAGCTATCAAGGTATGATAAAGGAAAATTGATTGATCCAACTTACTTTAAGAGTCTTGTGGGGAGCTTAAGATACTTAACATGTACAAGACCAGATATTCTCTTCGGTGTTGGACTTGTTAGTCGATTCATGGAGGCCCCCACAACAACTCATTTGAAGGCTGCAAAAAGGATTTTGCGGTATCTTAAAGGCACCACCGAATATGGGTTGTTTTACTCTTCATCTGATGAGTTTAAGCTGGTTGGATATTCTGATAGTGATTGGGGTGGAGATATTGATGACCGCAAGAGCACAACTGGGTTCGTATTCTACATGGGAAACACCGCTTTCACATGGGTTTCAAAGAAGCAACCGATCGTCACTCTATCCACTTGTGAAGCCGAGTACGTTGCAGCAACATCAAGTGTGTGTCATGCAATTTGGCTCCGCTACATATTGCAAGCTCTCACCATGTCTCAAGAAGAAGCAACAACAATATTTGTGGACAACAAGTCAGCTATTGCATTAGCAAAGAATCCAGTGTTTCATGATCGAAGCAAGCACATAGACACTCGATATCATTTCATTCGAGGAAAGATAGTGGAGAAGGAAGTTCAAGTAGAGTATGTGAAGACTCAAGACCAAGTCGCTGATATTCTCACAAAGCCACTCAAGCATGATGTCTTTGCAAAGATGCGAAATCTACTTGGTGTTGCTAAGTCAAGTTTAAGAGGGGATGTTAGAAATTAAACTTGGCTTAGCCCAATAATTGGGTCCATTAGATGTTAACTTATTGGGCTAGAAGTTGTATGATAATTAATAAATTAGCTAGCCCATAAGATAGACTTAGAAAGATCTAGAGTAGTTAATGTACCTAAACAATTCTAGATTATTCCTAAGCTAGAATCCTATAGAATATTCTAGAAGGTTAAGGAAGTAGGAGTACCTAGAAGGATCCTATGAGACCTATAAATAGAGCACTCCTCACTTATTTGTAAAGCAAGCCAAAAGCTCCAAATCAATACAAGTTCCAAGTTCTTCTAAAATCACCTCTCTCTAAAATTCTCTCTTCCACACACAATCACCCAAATATAATACTCATCAACTACTTTCTTCCAACAGAAGATGGCTTTCCGATAGCTGCCTCAATTAGGATCAACACTGAAGCAGTGCCCAACAAACCAATATCACAAGAGACTGATCATGAAACTGCTGAAAGAGTCCAGAACGTAAAAAGAAAAATTGATGCTGTTGGGCAAACCACTGGATCCGAAAATGCTAAGCAAAAGAAAAAGAATAAGAAGAAGAAGAAAAAGGTTTCAGCTAGCGAGGATACTTGTTTGGAGAGCGATGTGCAATGTAATGATGCTGATGTTAATGATAAAGAGAAAGTTTCATCTGCTGAAAAGGAAACCAGTGAGATGACAACTAATGAAGTGTGTGTTAATGATAAAGAGAAAGTTTCATCTGCTGAAAAGGAAACCAATGAGAAGACAACTAATGAAGTTAAGGTAGAGACAAAGAAGAAGAAAAAGAAGCAAGAAATTAATGGAGAGCAGAGCTTTGGTAAAGAAATTAAATCGTCCATGGAAGTAGAGGAGAAAGCTGATGCTAAGCCCTCAAAAGTGAGGACTTATCCTAATGGGCTTGTCATAGAGGAGCTATCAATGGGTAAACCGGATGGTAAAAGAGCTATTGCTGGAAAGAAGGTTAGTGTCCGCTATATTGGCAAGCTGAAGAAGAATGGCAAAATTTTTGACTCTAATATCGGCAAAGCACCCTTTAAATTCCGTTTAGGTATTGGTGAGGTTATAAAGGGATGGGATGTTGGTGTAACGGGCATGCGTGTTGGGGATAAAAGAAGACTCACCATTCCACCAGCTATAGGGTATGGAGAAAAAGGTGCTGGTGCGGTTATACCACCAAACTCATGGCTTCTTTTTGATGTTGAGTTAATCAACGTAAATTGATTGTCTCCCATATTTCTCTCTTTGGAAGAGTAATTTTTTTCGTTTTTGGGCTCCTCTTTCCTTTTGTTACCAATCAATTTTGGAACACAATGTAATATTGCAACTATATTATGAATTATTGAACGTGTCCGTTCAGACATTATAAAAAAAAGAAAAAAAATAAAAATCTTCATAATATTCCAATCTAAAGTATCTAAATTTATCTAAAGTATACCGTATTTTGGTATGTTGCAAAGTCAAATTCTACCTATTTAAAGTTGTAAAAAAACTGTAAAAAACAATAAAATGAGCCGAAAATTTAAATAAATTAGAATATTAAAAAAAAGAAGATAACACACATTAAAAGTATAAAGGACATGGAGGCCATTCCCTACTTTTTAGTTAATTTTTAATAAAAAATATTAATAAAATCGTAATAATTTTCTTTTTATTGATTTTATTTAATATGGAGGCCTTTCCCTTACAATTCCTTGACAATATAAAAAACTTCAAATTTTTATTTTTTTTAATCTTATTTAAAAAAATCGTGTGTTTTTTTTCCTTTTTTTTATAAATAAATTTATGTTATTACTTTTATATTTTAATTATTAATGAAATATGAAATTTATTGAAACAAATTAAGGGTAGAATTAGAAGAGTAGTTCACTTTAAGAAATTTTAACGTTGTAGTTCCATTTTGACAATTATAGTTTCATTTTGTCCTAATTGGGAAATTCCCCTTAATTATTCACTAAAATATACTGTGTTCATCACAAATATATTTGGAATTGAAAGTTATTAATTGCAATTTTAATAAATAAATATTTATTTATATTTTTCTAATATTCAGGCATAATGTATAGAGAAAGTAGAAGTTGGATGTATAATCGTTATGTTGAGAATGGTAGAGGATTGACAACAACGTTTACTGATGGAGTTAATGAATTTGTTTCTTTTGCACTCGGACAACATCAGTACATGGATGGAAGTAAAATAAGGTGCCCATGTACGGAGTGTAAAAATAGAAAATTTGTAGATAGTGATGATGTTTATTGTCATTTATATACAAATGGTTTTATAGACAATTATTACAATTGGACTTCCCAAGGTGAGTCGTTGGAGTCATATTCTGTGCCCCAAACAGTAGGAACGTCTCGTTATGTTCCTGAGGAGATGTCCACTTGGGGCAATTATGAAGAGATGTCATGGGATCAAAGAATGGTTTATGATTTGGTCGGTCCTACTTTTCCGAATACTAATCTGAATAATAATTTTGTTGGACAAAATAATGCAGCTGAGGGAATGAACTCATATGATTATGATGTTGATACATTAGGCACGAGATTTCAAGATGTGCTCAAAAGTGCAGATCAACCTTTGTATTCTGATTGTGAGGGTCACTCGCAATTGTCAGCGGTTTCTGAATTTTTGAATATAAAATCTGAATATAACCTTTCAGAAAACTGCATGGATAGAATATTAGATTCTGTTGGTAGCATGTTACCACACGATCACTGTCTTCCTGATAGGTACTACAACATGAAAAAGTTTGTCTCAGAATTGGGCCTTCCTATGATTAAAATTCACGCTTGCCCCTGAGGATGCATGCTTTTTTTGGAAGAACGATGAGACATTGACCCATTGTAAGTTTTGTAATTCGGAAAGGTACAAACCTATATCAGCTACAAGTCACAAACCAGGGAAAAGATCTGCAGTTTCTAAGTTGACATATCTCCCTTTAGCTCCACGATTGCAAAGGTTGTATATGCCTCAAGTGCTACCGCTAAACACATGACGTGGCATCTCGAGCATGACACTGAAGATGGGTTAATGTGTCACCCGTCAGATTATCAGGCATGGAAGCATCTTGACCAGTGGCACCCTGAATTTGCCATAGAACCACGGAATGTTCGTCTTGGGTTATGTGCAGATGGTTTTGCTCCGTACGGTAAATTTGGAAGTCAGTTCTCTTGTTGGCCAATTATCATCACACCGTATAATTTCCCACAGGACATGTGTATTAAAAACCATTTCATGTTTTTGAACTTAATGTGTCCCGGACCGGATAATCCAAAGAAAAGACTTGATGTGTATTTGCAGCCATTGGTGGAAGAGCTGAAGCACCTGTGGGATGTGGGAGTTCCTACGTATGATGTTTCAAGAGATCAAATATTTAATTTGAAAGCAGTAATTTTGTGGACAATTAGTGACTTCCCGGCGTATGGAATGCTTTCTGGATGGAGCACTGCAGGTCTCATGGGATGTCCTATTTGTATGGAGAAGTCAAATGCATTTTGACTCAAGAATAGCCGCAACCGTCTTACTTTGATTGTCACCGTCGGTTTCTCCCACCGAACCATCCATATAGAAAGGATAAAAAGTCATTCATCAAGGGTCGCATTGAGCGTGATCCTCCGCCTCCGAGGCTGACAGGATATGAGATTTATAATCACGTTCGAAACATCCCTTCTGCCATGGATGAACCACTCGAGTATCCCGAGGGTTATTTGATTCATCATTAGTGGACAAAGAAAAGCATTTTTTGGGAATTGCCATATTGGAAAGATCTTCTGATAAGGCATAATTTGGATGTAATGCATATTGAAAAAATGTTTTTGATAACATTTTTAACACGGTCATGAATTTCAAGGGGAAAACCAAAGATGGTTTATCATCAAGAAAGGATGTAGATCTATATTGTGATAGACCAGAAATTGCAATGGGACCCGAGTATAAAGGTCCCTTCAAGAAAGCAATTTATCAAGTCACGGACGAACAGAAAAAGAGAATTTTGGAGTGGCTCACGGAGTTACGATTTCCTGATGGATACACATCCAACTTGCGACGTTGCGTTGATGTAGAGAACTTGTTGATGAAGAGAATGAAGAGTCATGATTGCCATGTAATTATGCAGCGCCTCCTTTCAGTGGCTCTAAAGGAAATTCTCCCGGAGAGTGTATGGAATTGTATTACTGAAGTATGCGAATTGTTTCAGTTAATATGTTCACATCTACTAATTCAAAAGGCACTTCTGGACCTTCACCGCAATGTCTCCACTATAATTTGTAATTTGGAAAAAATATTCCCACCATCCTTTTTTGATGGAATGGAGCACTTAATACTCCATCTTCCATATGAAGCTATCAAGGGAGGTCCATCATTTTAAAGATGGATGTATAGCTTTGAGAGGTAATAAATTATATTCAAAATTTTATTAATTAATACATAGTATTACTATATTGCAATTATTTCTTATTGACAGGTTTTTATGTGAGTTGAAAAAAAAGTGAAAAATAAAGCACACGTGGGAGCTTCTATATGCCAAGCATACCTCACAGAAGAAGTTTCAACATTTTCTTCTTTCTATATTCAAAGAGATGTCATGACTAAGAGAAAGAGGCATGTCCGAAATGACGATATTGATGAGGCATCATATAAGCAAATAGTTTCAATCTTCAATTATCTCGAGAGAGGATATGGCAGAAACACACATCGCTATGTTGTAGGAGATGAGATCCGAATTGCGCACACCTACATTTTAATGAATTGTCCAGAGGTTATTCCGTATTATAAGTAAGTTAATCGATAAACCTTTTATTCTTTCACTTATTCATTAATTACTTTTTAATTACTTTCACGTATTAAAATTTGTAGTGACTTTAGAGAAGCTCTTGCTGATTATTCAAATGAAGAGATTGATTTGATGATAGACACTGGATTTGCATCATGGTTTAGGGACACGGTACACAAAAATATCTTACAATATTGTGGTAAGTATTGTGAACTACCCATTAACATATAAATTAAATATCTCGATTTATGGTCACATGCAGATCCTCCATGAAGCTAAAAATTCGACTGTTGATCCCTTTTTGGAATCATTGGCATGGGGTCCTCAATCATTGGTCAAATGTTGGTCTATATATTTTGTCAACGGTTACAAATATCATACCCGTGCCTATGGAAATAATAAACCCACAATGAACGGCGGCGTCTCTGTCCCGATTTGCAGTTATGATAACTCTGAGACAATTTTTTTTGGATATCTAGATGAGATATTGGAGATGAAATTGCCTGGTCAAAATGAGTTATCGATTGTACTTTTCCGATGTACATGGGTCGGTCCTGTGAGGGGGGTGAAAAACATCTCAAACATAGCTTACTTGATGTAAATCATGCACGGGTATATCAGAAAAATGAGCCGTTCATTTTAACTCAACAAGCAGCCCAAGTTTATTATGCTGACTATCCGACGACATGTGAAACAAGTTCTCCATGGGTTTGCGCTAGGGGTGGGAAAATATACCGAATTTTCGGTATACCGGCCATACCATACCGAAAAATACTGAATTTACCGAAATTTTTGGTATACCGAAAAGTTCGGTACGGTATGATACCTTACCGGATCACTTCGGTATGGTAAAGGTATGGATTTTTTAAATTTTCGGTATTTCGGTATATACTGAAATACCGTTAATTTTCGGTATGGTACGGTATATACCGAAATACCGATATACCGAAATAGAATTTGTAATTTTTTAGGGCCAAACCCATTAAATGAAATTATTAAAATACCAATGCCCAAAATTAAAATAACCCATCTTATAATACTACGGCCCTTCTTAAGTTCTCCCAATTAGAGGCCTAAATCCCTAGTCAAATAAATGGGAGAATTTGAGTTTGCACCCCATGTTTTGGGTGATAATTGCCTTTGCACCTCATTTTTAAAATCATTAATGTATGCACCCCATTAGCCCAAAAATTGTGAAGGAGTGGGGTGCAAAGTCAAATAATTTTATAGTGAATTGGGGTGCATACATTAATGATTTTGAAAATACGGTGCAAACTCAAATATCACCCAAAACATGGGGTGCAAAGTCAAAATCTCCCCAAATAAATCAACGTAGAGTCAAGCAGCTTCTCTTCTCTTCAACGAGTGACAGAGTTGTGGACTATTGAGCATTACGATGGAGATGCGGACGAGTGACGAAGACGCCATTGACGAAGCACGGAGTAGCGGACGACCGTCATTATTTGCTAAAGCTTAACCATCCTGGTAATATGAATAATCTGGTCTATGCTCATTCTATATTTATAAACAAATGATAAAGTATATTGATAAAATATTTATACGGCGGACGACCATCATA